TAAGACAGCCCCGGGGCTGGGGACGCCCCCCCAATTTAGGGACAGGGAGGAGAGGGTGACACATAGCCGACAGTGTCGCAATGCCTGCCCCTGCCTGGGGACATCATCCAGGGCCTGCCAGGCCAGGAGGGCCAGGGGAGAAGATCAGCACCCTCCATATTCAGCCTCTTCCATCCTCCCAGCAACAATAAATACTAATAAATATGAACCCTTCTGCACTTCCAGCTCCCCAACCCAGAGCCTGGCCCAGGCAACCTCATCCCAAGACCCTCTTCCAGGCTGAGCTCCCACCCCAGCCCTATCTCCGAGCTTGGAGCAGCACTGGCAAGAACTGGCAGTGTCTCTGGAATAGCAAGGGTTCCTTGGCATCTCCGTGAAGGATTTCAGTTCATAGGGGATCCCCGAGTCGACCTCGATTGACTTGCGGGAGAAGAGCAGACGGATGTTGTCATGAAGATAGATCTTCCCCGACTTGGAGCTGTGAAACCTGAGCAGGGAGGAAAGCAGAGGAACCTCAGACTTGCAAGTAAGGACGTGGCAGCCTCAGAGGGATCCAGTGGGAGTAGGGCAGGGGGCACAGCTCCAACTCGGGAAACTTCTTCCACCATCTCCCTTGCCTATTTCTGCTCCCGGTCAAAGTGGCCACCACTCTGCCTGCCTTCTAAGGGACAGAGACCACTGCCCTAGGGAGAACAGGAGCTCCAATCTCCCTGTAGCCCTTCTAGTGCAGATGGTGGCTCTGGGGAAGAGCAGGCAATGGTGGCCAAGTCAAGTCATCCTCCCATGACAGCAGCAGGACTATTTTAGGAGGATGCAAGGACACATGGAGAGGGGCCTGGGAGTCCAGCAGTGACCCCAGACCAGCTGTCCGTCCCTCCCGGCCTGCCCTACCTCAGGTGCATCAGGTAGCAGAGGACCCTTCGGGGTTGGCCAGTGCCTGGTGGGTTGTTGGAGCCCGCGGCAGCCCCCTCCTCTTCCCCCACAGGCACCAGGAAGATGCGGTGGCGCAGGAAGGTCATGTGGTTGGCCGGCATGTCCTGGAAGTCGTATGTCACCAAGAACATCTTCACCACAGTCTTGTTGGGGTTAAATAAGGTCTGAGAGGAGAGATTGGAGGAGGGGTGGGGAGTCAGATTAGAAAGTGCCCAGGACATGGACTCTACCCCATGCTCCCATTTTATCCCCATGGCACCCACATGCTCTGCTGTGGAGACCCCATTCCCTCCCTCCTCATCCTTATGTCTCCCACCCCCTTGCCTCCCTGACAGCTCCCTGGGGACCCAATAATTCCATTCAGAGTGCTCTCTTCGTGACCCTACACACACTCTGCCCAGATCTTTAGCAGTCGCCCCACCAGAACAACAGAACAGAGCAGTTCCTTCCCAGGGATGCTCCAACACAACGGGAGCCCGCCCAGACCTCTGCACAGCACTGCCAGAGGCCAGGGGATGACTCACCACTTGGATGGTTCCAGTTTTGGGGACACTGTAACCCTTCTTTCCCAAGGCCTCCAAATCAATCACTCCCTGGGCAAAAGAAACAGCATGTGAGAGAGGGCAGAGGCCCATGGAGAGCCTAGCTGGGTGCTGCTATGGGGCCCAGAGCCCCTCTCACCAGCACAAGGTGGGACAAGGCAAGCGGGGACAGGCTGCAAGAGGGTGCTCAGCTCAGTCTGCCTCTGGAGCAGGGGGAGGAACAAGCAGCAACCCAGAAACGATGGCAGAGGACACCCAGTGCCGGGATATGGCCGTTGCTCATGTCCAGCCCCAGCTCAGCTCAGCCCAGCCCTTCCTCACTGGCCTACCAGGAAAGGCGAGGGCGCGCTGTGTTCAGAGATGTCAAAGTAGGTGACGTCGACAGGCAGGGTGGCATGTTGGGGGCAGTAGGAGCCGCTGGCTCCGATCTCTGCTGTGAAACCCTCGATCCTTCCTGACGGTGCAAAGCGGCCCTTCAGGATGGACTCCTGAGAGAGGAGGGAAGCATTACAGAGTTAGGGATCTTCAAACACCAGGCCTACCCCTCAACACCAAACTATATTGGAAATTGCATCCATTTCCACCACGAGCACACCTGGTTGTCCTCACACAGCTCTGGGCTCTCCCGGGACTGCCTGTGAGGCACCTGTTTCTGAGATGTGCTCTACGTTTGAATAGGGGGGCTGAAACCAGGCACCTAACGCCAAGAACAAGTGCAAGCATCCTAGCCTAGCTGGTCTGCAGCAGCCCTCTCCCCAGGGCCTGGGGGACAAGTTTAGCACACAGCACCGTGCCAGGATGTGCTCGAGCGAGCTCTCCTGCCAGGGACAGACGCCTCTCCACAGAGCCAACCCCAGCCCCCAGGGCTGGACGTGCTCCCTCCTGCACAGCGGGCGTTCACAGCCCGGGTCACAGCTCTTACCTCAAAGTTGCCCAGCAGAGCGTGACTGACAGTGGTGGTGGCCCAAGGGGCAGCAGAGGAGCGGGTCCCCCTGCGGAGGCTGCTCCGGAGATGTCGCCTTTGGGAAGATGGAGAATGTAAGTGCCAGACTGGGAAGCAGGCAGCTCTGTGCTCCTTGTGTCGCCGGGGACAAGGGCCCTCACCCAGCAAACAAGCCCTGTCCCTCTCTCTGGGTCCCCGTCTCTCTATAACAGAGGTTGAACACACTTCCCCACTCCACAAGGTGCAGCAGAACCTCCCCACCATCCCACAGTCCTGGCTCTTGTGACAGGGAAGCACCTGGGGCAGGGAAAGGACAGGGATTTACCCCAGCCCTGACCCTCCCACGTGGCTGTAGGGTGGTGGGAGCCTGGTGCCACTAGGCCATGCTGCTGCCCCCAAGGCCCTGCTCCAAGGTCGGGAGGGCTCCTGGGTTGCTGGGACACTCACGATTTGAGGCGCAGGCCGCTCTTCAGCCTCCTCCCGACTGCGGTGCAACCTGCAGAGCTCTGTGGGGATGCAAGACCAAGAGCCACGTCAGGGCAGGGACTGGGGGCTTCACATCTCCAGGAGGTGCCACCCCCCTGTCCTGCAGCCCCACAGCAGCCCCAGTGGATCAGCTGGGCTCCCATGCGCAGCCTGCCCCAGGTGTCCCTGCTGGGGGCACGGAGCTTCCAAACCAGGACCTGGCTGCACGATCAGGTCCTTACCCTCCTAAAGGGGCTCTGCTAGGGAAGGGGGTGCTGTTGCCCAGGCCGCACTCAGCCACCTGCCTCCCATGCTGCATAACAGGTCTCCCAGCTAGCCCCATTTGGGCAAACAGGGAAGGAGGCAACGGTACCCTCGCACTGCCAGGGACAGACAGGCCCAGGCAGAAACACCCCCTTGGGTATCCCAGCAAACAGTACCACCTACCACAAAGCTTCCCAGCCAGTCCAGGTCAGCCTCCAGCACCAGGTTATTCATGCACAGCTCATGGCAACACTGCTGGGCACAGGGTTGTGCTCACCCATCCCTGCCCACAGCCACAGGCCTGCACGCAGTAACCAGGGGTGTTGGAGCTAGGGCCACGCTGCTGCCTCCTTTTACAGGGTGTCCCCTTTTCAGGGATTTTCCCTTCTGGAAGCCGCACAAAGGGCTGCACAACACAAAGGGATGACAGAGCCGCCCGGCATGACCGAGCTGGGGGCTCGAGGGAAGCTGCCGGAGAGCCACACTCTGGGAGGGAAGT